TGAGACATAACTGTGATGTGAGATACGTGATTTTAAGACCATGTTTTCATATGCAAAGCTGTATACATTTCCTATACTTCAATGAGACTATTTCCCAGAGTTGCATTTTTAGTGTACAAAGTTGATTATTTTAGGATTAGGTTAAATGTCTGCTACTCTACTGACACAATTAAATCCATTCTGGACCCGTACATGTTGGTCCTCGGAAGTATCTGTATTATGATTAAGTCTGCATAAAAGTTGTTGCTGAAAAAAGCCATGCCCTTGAGAGCTGAAAAAAGTATGCCGACTAAAAGAAAAATGAGGATGGCAGCCTCCTTGTCACTTGAAGGCTGACTCATCTAAAGCTGTGAGGAAAAGGAGAGAAGCGTGTGTGACACACTTGCCCGTGTCAGAACCTCGATGCAGACAGCACCCAAGATGATCAACTCAAGGATACAAACTATCGTACACAGAAGGATGAGTTCTAGAAAAGGGGAAGCAGAGAGAATAAAGACAAAATGGCAAAGCCACAGCCTCGCACCAAATAATTTGATTTGCTACCTGGAATCTAAAGACACTTTTTTCAACAAATGAATGAAATGGATAATTCACTGAATCTACAAACAGCTGGCTAACAAAGTAAAAATAACTATGCACAAAGACAATGTTAAAACCAGGTTATCGAGTTTTCTAAAGGGAATCAGAGCAATGCGAACCAAAGAATCTCAGCAACCTCAGAGAACTTGTAGCTTCTTTCTGGCTGGCTCCTTAAGTCCAAGGAAGCCAGACTCTGAGGTTACACTGGTAATGTGTCTCTGATGAAACTGGTCATATCCAAGCCACACATGTGTGCATGAACACAAGCACTGAGTTTATTTCACAACATTCGGTATGACGTGTGTCCATAGCCCCACACCATGAATGGTAAAGGATTATACAGAGGAGCGAGACACGGTCTGTTTGGTTTGTCCCATGGACACTCAGGTACACTGCCCTGACCATCTCTGTGTCGAAGCACAATTCCACTGACCTCACGATTGTTTGCTCTAATCCTCCTGTCAGAACACCCCAAGGGAAACTTCTTTGGTCCAGAGTCCCTCATCTCTCTCCTGCTCCCTAACTGCTGGATGAGCATGCCTGTCCCAGTGGCTCTCTGCTTCCCACTGGCCTGTCAGTGCCTCCGCTGGACTCTGGATTGTGCCAGTACTGCACTGCTGCTGTTAGCCCCTGTGCTGTGTTGCCCGGTCAGAGCTGTCCTAACACATGGCTATCTCGGTAGAAATGACTGGATCAAGATGAGACAAGAGCTACAGGGCTGTCTGTAAGTACAAACAAGTTTCCTATATGAAGGATACTTGGCCGCAGGTCAGAAACCTAGACATCAGGCCATCCACCAGGGTAGAGAAGCATCCTGTAGAAGGCAGAGTAAACACACAGTTCCACCTGCCCAAGAGTCTCATCAGGGCCAGGCTAGAGAGTATACAGCGGCTCTCCCCAGTGACCTCAAGACCAAATCACAGGAAAACACTGAAGGCTGCAGCAAATAAGTATGTGCTTTAAATCACCCCAGCACCGCCTAATGCTTTGGGCCTCGGGGAAACTGCTCTTTCTTTCTGGATGATGGTAGCCCAAACTTGCCTAACTCCCAAATCCATCATCTTTCAAAGCTCATATTAACTATGGCAGGTTCTAATTTAAATCCTTTTCTGACCAAAGCAACCCCAGCAGAAAAAAATCATTTTCTCTTTTAAGCATCTGTCTAGTGCAGTATTTAGCATGCAGGAGAGTTCATTTCATTATGAACTGTCTCCCACTGACCCAAGCTGAGAGCTCTTTAGGTAAGGATTCTACATCATTTATACAGATAAATGACATCTTATACTTAGGCCTAACAAGCATAAGCCTCACTCCACTAATATTTTGATATATTTATTGCTTTGATCCAGTGATGACAACTCACACAACATGCTTAAAATATAACTGACATTTTTGTAATAAAGGTAATTGTTGAATAGTTTATATGCACGGTTATCAAAAATACAACTATAAGAATGTATGAAAGTAGACTTTCATATAGAATTCAACTTGCTTCCCCCGTCTGCCAAATGTTACCTTTCTCTGTCTCACTCTGTGTGTGTCTTCCCCACCCCTGTGCCCCCGATACCCCCTCGGGAAATCTTTTACAAATGGTCAACAGGTGAATGAATAAAGAAAATGTGGCATTCATATACAATAAGGTACTACTCTGCCATTAAAAAAAGATAAATTTGAGTCATTCGTAGGAAAATGGATATACTCTGAGACCACGTTAGGGGAAATAAATCAGACACCACACAAACTCAAAAATCACATGGTTTCTCTTATATATGAGAAACCCAAATACAAATGAAGAGCAAAATAAAAGGTGAATAATAGGAAGTAGGAAGACATACATTTTGGACAAAGCAAAGGCCTAAGAAATGGAGCGGGGAGGAAGAGAGAGAGGTGCAGAAGGGGATGAGAAAAGAATTAAGGTATATTGTGTGCTTGTACCACTGCACACAAGGGACATAATCATTATGTACTGCAAAGAAACATGTACTAATAAAAAAATAATTGAAAAAGAAAAGTCCACACTGTTTCTAAGAGGAAAAAAGGAAAGAAAAAAAATCATGTCCAGGCACCAACTCCTTCTCCGGACCGCACACCTCCCCGCAAGCCCAGTGAAATATACAACCTTTACACCCACTCATTTGGCAGATGCCCCCAGTGACCTCTACCTGATCAAAGCCTGCAGTTATTTCTTTGTTCTCTGCTTCACTTGATGCTGCTGGGCTGCCACAGAACCCCTATACTACCTGCTTCTTGTAACCATTATTTCTCAAGAGTGTTGAGGGATCCTGATCATCTTCCTATTCTTAAACCTCGGTTTTACCCTGGGATCCTTCTATTTTTTTTCTATATATCCTTTGATAGTGTCATCCACTTCACCAGTTAAGTGAACACTTTAGGGCAGTGGCGGGGAATCTATGGCTCATGTGTTATTTTTCTTTTAGGATAAAAGATGTTAATGTATGAGTTGTTTTTCCTACACTCTAACCTCAATATTCAGGATTAACTGCAGTGTTGGCTCTTTGCAATAAATAAGTAGGTTTTAGATGCAGTTTGGGCACTCATCTCTAAAAGGTTCACCACCACTGATTCAGCTGTTTGCTGGATCTATACCCCTGGATTACTTATGGGTACCACAAAACCACTACAGCAAAACGTGAACTCACCATTGCCCTTCCCTAGATTTGGTTTGCATCTTTAATTCTTGATGTCTCTTTACCACCTAATCCACTAACATGGTAGCTCCCCTGAATTTTTTCTCACAAACCATATTCAGTTGACCACCAGGCATTTGCTTCTTAGTCAGTTCCAAAGGCATTTACATGAATGTGGAGAACTCAGTTCCCAAACACCACTCTCTACAGAGGATAGAAACGAGCATTAAATGTCACCCACAGAGAAGTTCAGTATTTTAATCAGAGAAGTACAGAGTGAGCAAATAGTTTAGCAAAATGTAGGATTCAAAGAGCTAACAGTTGCTCCTTCATGCACACAAAATTTAGAAGGGTTACCAGCAAAGTTTTACTAGGTCAAATTTAGGTTATGACAGAGTTCCACAACTGTAAGTATATGGAAAGTTTTAAAAAAGAAATAGAAGAAGAAAGAAGAAAAAAGAAAGAAGTTATGTGATCTAAAATGTACATATGCCTCTAGTCCCAAGTACTCAGAGACTGAGGCAGGAGGATCTATCTTCAGCCCAGTAGTTTGGCAACAGCCTGGGCAACATAAGAAAATCCTGTCCCAAATAAAGAAAGAAAGAAAAAGAAATACAGTGCCATTATTAACAATGATTCTTCCACATTTTTACTTTCATCAATGTAATTACAAATCATTTTTATCATAGTTAAAGCACAACTATTTTTATTCTTTGGAAATCGCTGATTAAATGTAGCAGCTGATATGCAAATACATTATTGAGATAAATTCTATAACACATCTGTGGAGCCTCCTGAACTTTATTTTAAAATGTTAACTCCTAAATCATATTCCTAAATTATTTGTTACTATATGTAGTATATAAAATACAATGAGCATTTCAAGGACCAACCAAAGGGGTAAGTGGGAAGTGAAAAATTAAATAAGTAAACACTGAATTTCAAATGTGGATTTTGATAACATAAAATGTGAAGTTTTAAAATTCTGCACAGAAGCATGACATTATCAATCCTCAAATAGAATTATGTTCATGGTAAGAAAAATTTAATTGAATTTAATTTTACTCTTTGCTAATAAAAAGTTGACACTGAAAGACAGTTTAAATATTTAATGTTCTCTTCATCACCTTTTTACTATTTATCATTTTATTTTAGTTTCACTTCAAAAGATTCTAAGATAGCTAAAGAAATCTTTAAAAGATCCTTCTGAAGATACATTTCTTCCAAGGCTCTTGCTGCAAATCTTGGAATGCAGCATGTCCCGTGTAACCATTTGGCAGCAATGCTTACATCAAGGATACTGCCAGTGCGGAGATAATTAAGGAAATTCAAATTTTTCTTACCAGAGCAGAGGTTGAACAACAGGCGATCAGTGCATTTCCCACACTAGCCGTTCTTCTGTCTGTATCTTACCTCTTTACCTCCCTAAGGTCTTAACACTCCTGCCCACCCACAATACCCCAAACCCACAAAAAAAAAACAAAATAAAAACAGGACTGCTCCTACTCCACAGCCCTAAAATGGTTCTGCTCTTATCTCTGATTAGTTCCATTCCTGCAATGTGGTATTTTAAATATCATTTAACAAAGACACTTAATTCAGAGCTCATGTTTCCAGATAATTTTATCCAATTCAATAGTAGTCTTTTTATTACACACAGACCAGAAAAGCCAGATAATCTATTTCCACATGCAAAGTGAATTAATAAATCTGTACCCAGCGATCTGTGTGTAAGGCCACATTTTCAGTCAATAAAACCAATGCCATACTTACGGTGGAGGTTGGTGGGGCTGGTTTTCAGCATTTCTTGGTGTTTTGCAGGCAGCAGGCTTCGCCATGTCCCTTACAACACACCTGCGGCGCATGATAGACAGCACAATGCACTATTAATTATAAAAAGGGGAGAACACATCTGGAAATTAAAAATCGTATTGCAAACATATCTAACAGGAAGTCTTTGCAAGCCCCTTCAATATTAACCGTGGGGCCCTCAGAGGCCCCTAGAATTGGAAATCTTAAGACTTGGGTTTCCAAATGCTCAGTTATACCCACATGAAATCTGTTCCGAACCCTTGTATTTGAGTCTCCTTTTAGCATCAATAAAATGATTGTCAGCAGCTTTCCCCATAGCAGAAAAGCTATTGAAAGCTTTGACCTCACCATATGAAGACATCTGAAAGCTTAAAAATAGGAGCAGCTGTTGTGTTGATACATTAAAAATTGAGCAGAATTTTCTGTGGCTTTGGCTATTTTACTAAAAGATATGGACTCTTGCTCCACACCATTAAAGCACCACACAGGCCTTTCTTTTCGTACAATAAGAAATCTGTTAAGTATCAAGACATATTCAAAATCCCCTCATGCTAAGAAGGCAGAGACGAAAGGAAATGTTCATATGCAAACGTGTGTATGTAAAAAAAGATGTGTCTGAAATGTGGAAAAAAATCACAAAAGGTCTTGTTGTGCCTTGAATTCTTCATCTTAAATTACATAAACACAGATTGTACACAACAGAGCCCCAAAGAACAGCAGGACCGGATATTATTCTCAGGTAAAGAGGGCTTACCGAGCACTGGAGAGATTCATTGGCCAAAATCAGAAAACACTTCTACCTGAGGCTCTACTTGGATGAACTAGACCCTTCTGCTCAGAAGCTTTAAACCAGTGGTGCATCTGTGGCATGCACACCACCATGGGCTGCTTGAACCACGGGAACCTCTAGAAGGTTCGCCATCACTGCCACAAAGTTCTGCGTAGGGAAACCTTAGCTAAAAACTGAGGCTCCACATCATGTATTTGGCTACTGGAAACACAGCTTAGGACCCAGGACTCTCAAGTGTGAGTTTGGTGAAGACGCATCACCAAGGCGTCTAAGAGTCGGGACTATACCGCGCCCACATGTGGCCAGTCTTGCTACTCCAGAAATGGTTGCCTGGTGAGGCAGGAGGGTAAACTGTTTTCCCAGAGCTAAAAGCTGCATGGCAAAATTCTCCACTTCTGAAAGAAATGATACAGGAAAACGTGGACATGACACACAGAAACATGCACACACACACACACACACACACACACACACAAACACACACTGCTCATTCCAAACAAGGTCAAATAAGACTTGGAAACCAATATGCTATGCAACAAGAAAAGAAGACTGCAGTTTTGAAGCCTCAACTCACCTTCCTCCTGGACTAAAGGTAAAGAAATGCAGTGTTTCTCAAGAACTGACGCAAAATTTTCAACAGATTATGGTTGAGAGAGGGGTGAAAACATCCAGAAGGAGCACAGAGCCTCCACTCGGGTGTCTGCTCCAGATTCTGGGAGATGGCCCATCCCAAACCAGGCTTAGAGGACTGCTCAGCAAGGAGCTGCTAGAGGGAAGCAATGAACTAGGACATCTGAACCCTGAGATGTGAATCTAACTCACACAAGTACAATGTCCTGTGAGTCCAATTTCATAGCCCCAGAAAAATCTTCAAAAATTCTCATTGACTAAAAATAACAAATGCAGCAGTTTGATCCACATTAACAGGTTTGTGAAAATATCTCAATATCACAACTTGGAAAAAATTTAAAGAATTATATCTACAAGAAGTCTTAGTTCTCTTTTTGCTCAAGTCCCATGTATTTATTTATTTAATCTTATTAAACTGAAATAAACTCAATGAGAGAAAAAAATCTTATTGAGTTTTTCGGTACTTTTTAAGTATATAATTAAGCTACATTCATCACTGGGATCTTGTACCTTTACATAACAGATCTTGGTTCTCATTTTTTTCCCCTTACCCCTGCCCTCCCTTCACCCACTTCGCCCTTCCCTATTTACAAACACTTTGTTTCCATTTTTTCCTATTCTCCTATTTTTTCTTGTCCCTTATTTCCTTTCCCCTACCCTTCCCACTTCCCCTACACCTTTAGCCCTTTTCTTCCTATTTCACCTTATCAGTTATACAATTTGGATCTTATTTACACTTTTAGTTTTTCTCACTTTGGAAACTATTTGGTATTTACACGTGTGTCCTATTTATTTCACTTAAGAGTATGGCCTCACCAAGACCTATCATATAAAGGGACAAGATTCCAATAATGAATGTAACTGTACTGTATACCTAAAATGTACCAATAAACTTAATTTAAAAACTAAAAAAAAAGAGTATGGCCTCAATATGCATCCATTTTCCTATGAATGACTATAGTTTCTCATTCTTTATGGCTAAATAGTATTCTATTTTATAGAAAACCACATCTTCTTTATCCAGTCTCCAAGTGAAGGGCAATTGGGCTGTTTCAAGCTTTAGCTATTACAAACTGTGCCGCTATAAACTGAGATGTGCATATATTACTGTGGTATAATTTTTTTAATTCTTTTGGAACGATACCCAGCAGAGGGGTAGTTGGGTCAAATGGAACCTCTTTCTTCCAGATAGTCACAGGTATTTATACAAAGCATTAAAGTAAAACTACCATATAGTTTTGTAGTTGAGCAGTATGAGTGGATTTCTAAGCCAAACTCTTTTTTTCTTCTAACTAAAACACCTTGTCTTTGTAAGAAAACTCATCTGACTTGGCTACCCACAGGTTTTAATGTAAACTTACAATAAATAGTTGACACGTTACTTCTGTCTGCACCGGCTATGGAATCTGACAAAAGCTTCATCTGAATTTCTAAGCTTTCATGTTTTATTGAATAATAAAAATAAACACACTGTGCCTCAAAAACAATATATTTAAAATTTATAAAACACAGGAGAGCACCACATCTTCCCTACTGTCCAAAAACCTGGCCACAGGACATACATTCATATACGCACAAGAGAGGAGACACTAGCTACTGTATCTGAGTGGGGGAGAAGCCATCTGTTTGGACTTGAGGGGACACTGAGCCATGATAATATACAAATATACTTACATTTCCTAATGTGACTTTAGCTGAAATTTCTTATAGGTACAAGGGAAAAAAAATACCTAGAAAAAGCCTCATATAAAACGTGATACAGTCACAAGATTTGTGTCAGCCTATGTGGTTTAACATTTCCTTAAAATTATAATTGAGTTGTTTGGAGTGATAAAACCTTAATAATTCTGGCAGCCATAATGTATGGAAATTGCTTAGCTGCAGGAATTCCCATTGTTTTCCATGCATTAGATTTAGGGTAATACCACAGACCCCTCATTAAGAAACATGATAATGATATTTCAGGATGCTGCAGCTCTTAAGGATCTATTTCTATACATAATTCACTCCCTGCATCAGACGTTAGGAGACTACAAATGCCATCACCATGTTGCTGACTTCCTGGAATTACAAGGGATCAAGGGTTTCTGACCTCTTGTTGTTTGTGACATCTTTGACTTTGACGACACAGCGATTTATCCAATGTGGACCCTCACGGTCTTCTAACCGCATGTGAGCATTCCCTGCTCCCCGAGCATCACTGAAGAGCTGTACAAATAAGACATTCTGCAACCCTCTCAAGGGAATGCTCCTCCTGACTCCGCCCTGAGCACTGCCAGGTTTTATGAATGACTGCAATCAATGCAATGAATGGCTGCCAACTGCCCACTCAGCCACTTCTCTGCTGTGCACGTACACACGGGAGAAACTCACAGTGCCACAAGCCTGCAGATGAGGCTAGAGCAAGGCTTTCATCTCTCCAAACACGAACTAAATGTGCTTCCAGATACTTAGAGGGTGGGAATTGAAAATGTGCAATGCCTTCAAGAAACAATTTGCATAATTGCTTTCTCTCCTTTGACTTTCCATTTTCGTATCTACAATCACTACCCCCTGCCCTGCTTCCACAAAAGAAAAAAAAAATCACAACAATTTTATGAAACTTCATCAGAATTTGAATTTTAAATTGCTTGGTGTTTCATAACGGATGTCAGGAATCTAGCTACTGTGCAGTAAGCTGCCAAAAAGGAGGCTCTGCCTGTTTTACATCTCTTCTCAATCTTGTGGTTTTCCAATATTCCTATCATCCATGAAGAAAACAATTACATCCCCACAGTGCTGGGGAAAGGAGGGTGCTGTGACTACTGTACTGGCCCACATGAGTCCCAGGGAAACTCAGGGGCAGCGCAAACAACAACAGAATGAACAAATGAGACATTTTAGAATACACAAAGTTATGATTTGCTGATGATGGATTGAAAGTACACAGACATACGGAAAAACGGAGCTTTCAGGGGCTTTGTAGCTGGCCCCCCTCTCCTAAGACACCCATTCAGTGTTGCTAGCCATGTTCAACACATCTGTCAAAAGCACTCAAAAGTTCTATCTCCAACCTGCAGTTCTTCATCCCAGAGTCAGACATCCAATGCAGCCTCAAATTTTTCATTTAGATATCTACCAATCAACATCTTACAACAGTCAACATTTGCAGATGAAGCCTCCTCCTTGTCTGACTCCCCGAGCCCACAGCCTCCAGCAGCAGCCGCCAGCTCTGCCTTGGCTGATTGTAAGCACTTCTACAGCTGTTCAGGCCCACGCTTTCACCTCCGCTCTCTTTTTTTCTTTTAGTCCACACTAAATCCACCAGATTGGCTGTACTTTCAAGATAAGTCAGGTAAGTCCCACCACTTCTCATGTCCGCCATCACTGTCACCCATCTTGAACAGTCACCTTTTACTTGAATTCTGACCATAGATTGTTAACTGCCCAGAAAAGACTGGAAAAACTCCAGATTACTGCTTTGAAGCAGTAAGATGCTATTTAACATCTGGTGCACTGATATTTTATCAAATGGTAAGGAATTCTAGCGGTAAGGAAATGTATCTTGGTGGTAAAGAGAGAATCAATCTGATTTACTTCTGATGTTTTTTGTAAACAGGGTATAACACCTATCGCGTGCCAA